TACAACACCCGTCTCACCCGCAAAGCCCTCTGCATTGCAGGTGATCCCACCCACCCGACACACAGCTTCTTCAGTCTGCTGCCATCAGGGAGGAGACTGCGGAGTCTCCAGGCCAGGACCAGCAGACTGAAGGACAGCTTCATCCATTAGGCTGTCAGGAAGCTGAACTCCCTCCCGACCTTGCCCCCCCTCCCCTCTTTTGCCCTACGCACCTCTGAACTCTGACCCCTCTGACAGTCCCACTCCCCCCTCCCTAATACACACACACACTGTCACTTTAATCAATCAGTCTGAATAAGCTCTTTTGCACTACAAATCATTTTTTTGCACTACAATCATTATATCTGCACTGTTGTTTACTTTACTGGTTTTGCACTCTATCTGCCATATGCCTTGTGCTTTATATATATATTTTACATTTTACCTTATTTGTATATTTGTATAGTTGTATTTTGTATTTTGTATTTAATCTGTATCTATCTGTATTTATGTTCTACTGTAGTGTTATCTGTATGCACCAAGGGTCTGAGAGTAACGCAATTTCAATTATCTGTGTGTATGTGCTGTACATGTGGAAGAATTGACAATAAAGCAGACTTGACTTGACTTAACTATGAAGCACTGTCAAGAGCATGCCAAGCCAACAGGTGGCAAAATTAAATCTCAACCGTAAAGCCATGTTGGCCAATCAGAAGCCTGAAAATGTTTCCAGTAGGCGGAGATAACAGCGCATGCTCCGACGTCACAAGCCAAAAACTCCAGTTTCGCTGTCTACACGACAACACTGCAACTGGAGTTTTTGAAAATCTTCACCCTGGCAGGAGTTTTCAAAAATGTTCGGTTTCAGTGACCTTGGGCCCGTTTCAATAAGGAGGTTCAACCAACTCTGAGTTAAAACTTAAACTCTGAGTTGACTTATCCTGAGATGGGAAACTCTTGAGTTTTCGGTTTCAGAACAGCTGAATTGTGTTAGTTCAGTCAACTCTGAGTAGATTGACTCTGAGTTTAGCGCGTGCACCAGGACTATGAAAAGTCATGATCAATGGAGCTCCAGAATTATGATTCATCATGGCAACAGCATCGACAAAAAGAAGTCTGCATACTTTGAGTCAACGCATAAGTTTAATTCTTAGTCACTGTTATAATAACAGAGGTGAAAACTGGCAGAACGGTAGGTTATTGAATTAATATGAATTTTCATGGTATCCCATGGGCAAAAAAAAGAAAAGAAAAAAGAAGAACGTGACAGCAGCTAAAAATGAAGTATAAAAACAATTCAATCAGATAAAGCTTTAAGCATAACATATTCATGGCTGTAGGCTACATGACTTTACAAACATTTGGTATTAAATAAATTTAATTCAGTGTCAATTTCAATGTGCAGCAGCTTTTTTTCACGTACTCTATCTAATCTTTTCATGTAATCTAATCTTTTCACATAATTAAATATTCTCTAATCCAACCTGTTACATTTCTTAATTAGAGTAATGAAATTAACTTTTGACTTCTACTCAGGCAACAGCAAGAAGGGTCGCAAAATAATGAAGAACAGATGAAGAGGAGATGACCATAATACCAAGTATTGGAAGAATACTAAAATCCAACAGTAAAAAATAATAACTCTTGCTTTTGTATTTGTAGGAAATAAAGATGACCAAATATATTGTGCATAATTTGTGTTTATGTAACAGCTGTGGTGGTTACAGCATATATATCGGACTACACTTCCATACGGCATCCTTCCATTCCATATCGGTTTCATTTTTGGAAGGTGCGATGATAGGAATCTGCGTGTCATCAATGTAACCAACCCCACTGGAAATCCTGAAGGAAATTCTAATTATTGGGTTACTTCCAGAGGTTGCCATAAGATGTTATCAAATGAACATCAGCGAGGCACACCTTCGTTACCGCTCTGCATACAGCGGTCTTACTAATGTGCTCTGCATCCCCAATATAGAAACCTACCAAATGAATATGCATGTGATATGGCACAAAAAATTTAACTTCCTACGAATTAATACAGCCTCCTCATCTACAGTATAAAAGGACATGCCATTTTTGTCACTTTGACGGTGTCTGGGGTTTGAAGGGGTTGAGGTGGGGGAAACAAAAAAGAATCTTGTTTATGCTTGCATTAAGATGACTTTTCTTGCCCCATGGCAGATCATTTTACTTGTTTTAAGTAAAATTTACTTAAATGCACTTGTTTCCCCCCAGGAAACAAGAATAAACATCTTAGGCTATATTGTTTTTCTCATTTAAAAAATGCATTGTGATTTAAGAACTTTTAGATATTTGTACTTGAAATAAGACAGAATACACAAGCATTTTTGCAGCGTGAATGAATGAATGAGGTATTTAAACATCGCTTACACTTTAAAAAGGGGGAGGAGACTGTAAGAAACTCTGGGTTTACTGAAGAAAATGTCTCAGGTTACTTATGTAACCATGGTTCCCTGAGTAGGGAACGAGACACTGCGTCCTCTAGGGTTCGCTATGGGGAATGCCTTGTCGTGACCCGTGTCTGATGCATACATTGAAAAAACACCAACTCGTTGGCCGGTGACAGCCATGACGTCACTACCGGTGCGACTATAGTATAAATAGGGGCCGGGAGCACACATCATTTACTTCTTCGTCTGAAGTTTGCATCCGTAGCATGGCAAGAAACCTAGAGGACGCAGTGTCTCATTCCCTAATCAGGGAACCATGGTTACAAAAGTAACCCGAGACGTTCCCTTTCATGGGAACTTCGAACTGCGTCCTTTAGGGGTCGCTATGTTCCCTTCCATGCCTCAGCAGCGGCGGGTCCTGGATCGCGGAAAGCAGATGACTGCCCCTCTTTCCTCGAAAAGAGAGACAAACGAGAGCGGAGCTTTTTTAAAAATATTAGTATTATTATTTTTTCCCTTGGAAAAAACACTCGCAGTGCACGCCGATTGCCCCCTCGGAGACATCGCATGCGTGCTCTTTGCCCAAACAAAACAACGCATAGATCGTGAGTGTCATCAGATGTTAAACAACGTCAACACGGATGCACACATCCTTAAATGCTTTGCTAGTGCTTGCCATAATGAGATAAATAGAGATCGCTCTTACCACAGAAATGCACGCTTCAAACAAAACAGTCAATGAAGACGAAGAAGAAAAGAATGATGTGTGCTCCCGGCGCCTATTTATACTATAGTCGCACCGGTAGTGACGTCATGGCTGTCGCCGGCCAACGAGTTGGTGTTTTTTCAATGTATGCTTCAGACGAGGACGCAGTTCGAAGTTCCCATGAAAGGGAACCTGCTCCCGACCAGGTGTGCGTTTCCCAAAAGCATCGTTAGCTAACTATGGTAGTTAGTTCCATTGAAATCTATTGGTAACGACGGAACTTGCGAACCATAGTTGCTTTTTGGAAACACACCCCAGGTTTGGTACATAGAGTAGGTTACTGATTCTGAGTATAAGTTACCACTCTTTCAGAAACGGGCTTGACTTACCCTGCTTTCTCGGGTTTGGCATACCTCCCATTCTGAAACAGAAAACCCAGAGTTTCCCTCATTTCAGGGTTTACATACTCAAAAAGTTTTCACTTAACCTCCTTTCTGAAACGGGCCCCTGGTGCTGAGTTTGCATGTGGACAAACGGCTAAACTGCATAGAAAAAGCTGCGGTTTTGATAATACCCTGTGTTCAACGAAAATGAAACAGATATGGAATGGAAGGATGCCATATGGAAGTGTGTCTGAGATATATGCTGTAACCACCACCACCACAGCTGTTACATATACCTGTCGTGTGGACAGGGCCTGAGTGAGAATTATATAAACACTGGGAGTGAGATTTTACTGTGTAAATTATGTGAAATATAATGTTGTTGTTTTTTTAACGAAACATTAACACGTTAGACTGCACCCTATAAACACAATCAAGCCTAGAAAAAAAGTTTACCACCCTTTTAAAGGAATAGTTCACCCAAATATAAAAAATGGTCATAATTTACTTCTGTGCATGTCGTAACCTGTATGACCTTCGTTCTTCTGTGAAACACAATAGATGACGTTTTGAATATTGAGTAGTTTGGTACCATTGCCTTCCACTTGTGTGGACAAAAAAAACATTTCTCAAAATATATTCTTTTATGTTCTACACAAGAAAGTCTTACTGTTTTCTAATTACTTGGAGATAAGTAAAGTGACGACAGAATTTAAATTTTTGGGTGAAGTATCCCCATGAATTGTTTTGGTTTGGCAGTATTTTCACAGTTTTTCTGGTTTATAATATAACAACACTCACTGTAGTTTCTGCAGTTTACAGTGTGGATCCTCCAGTAGAGCAGAGAGCAGCTTCACTCCTGAGTCTCCTGGTTTATTACGACTTAGATTCAGTTCTGTCAGGTGTGAGGGGTTTGATCTCAGAGCTGAAATCAGAGCAGCACAGCCTTCCTCTCCAATACTGCAGTCCCACAGCCTGCAGAGAGAAAGAGAAAAAAACAAATAAAGTTATTAAAGGAAGCAATAATTAAAGGTTTGCTTTTGAAACAATGTAACACTATTAATCTCCATCTCTTCAGTAAAAATACGTCAGATTTGAAAAGTGTGTTTTCCTTTACATTTTCATTACATTTACATGTATTCATTTAGCAGACGCCTGTCATGTCCTCGGTTTGATCACCCTGTCCTTCGGTTGTCGTGTTTTGTATCTGTCTGCACCCTCTTCATCTCCTGCAGGTGCCGGGTCCTTCTTTGTCAAGAAGGACGGCTCCCTGCGTCCCTGAACGACATCACTATAAAGAACACCCTTGCCTCTTACGTCGTCTGCCTTTGAGCTTTTGCAGTGAGCCAAGGTCTTCACCAAGCTTGACCTCCGGAATGCCTATCACCTGATTCGCATACGTGAGGGGGATGAGTGGAAGACAGCTTTCAACACACCCATGGGACACTTTGAGTACCGGGTCCTACCGTTTGGTCTGACCAATGCCTCAGCTGTCTTCCAGGCCCTGGTTAACGACGTGTTGAGAGACATGGTGAATCGCTTTGTCTTCGTGTATCTTGACGATATCTTGATATTTTCGCCATCTCCGCAGGTACACACTCAGCATGTTCTACAAAGGCTGCTGGACAACCAGCTTTATGTCAAGGTGGAGAAGTGCGTCTTCCATGCCCAGTCGGTTCCGTTCTTGGGGTTCATCATTTCTGCAGGAGAGATCAAAGCGGACCCCTGTAAGGTAAGGGCCATTGCCGAGTGGCCAGCTCCTGACTCTCGTAAGGCTCTGCAGCGGTTCCTGGGGTTTGCCAACTTTTATCGTCGTTTCATCCGCAACTTTGGTCAGATTGCTGCACCCTTAACGGCACTCACCTCTCCCAAGGTACCGTTCAAATGGAATGTTGATGCACAGGAGGCCTTTGATAAATTAAAGTCCCGGTTTATCTCTGCTCCTGTCTTGTCTATTCCAGACCCTGAACGTCAATTCATTGTTGAGGTGGATGCCTCTGTCGGATTAGGCGCGGTCCTATCACAGCGGTCGCACCAGGATGGGAAGGTGCATCCCTGTGCTTTCTTCTCCCACCGCCTGAGTCCCCCAGAATGGAATTACGACATAGGTAATCGGAAGTTGTTGGCGGTCAGGCTCTGCAGTGGTTCCTGGGGTTTGCCAACTTTTATCGTCGTTTCATCCGCAACTTTGGTCAGATTGCTGCACCCTTAACGGCACTCACCTCTCCCAAGGTACCGTTCAAATGGAATGTTGATGCACAGGAGGCCTTTGATAAATTAAAGTCCCGGTTTATCTCTGCTCCTGTCTTGTCTATTCCAGACCCTGAACGTCAATTCATTGTTGAGGTGGATGCCTCTGTCGGATTAGGCGCGGTCCTATCACAGCGGTCGCACCAGGATGGGAAGGTGCATCCCTGTGCTTTCTTCTCCCACCGCCTGAGTCCCCCAGAACGGAATTACGACATAGGTAATCGGAAGTTGTTGGCGGTCAGGCTGGCTTTGGGGGAGTGGCGTTACTGGTTGGAGGGTGCAGCTCAGCCCTTCCTGGTCTGGACGGATCATAAAAACCTTGAATATATCCGTTCAGCCAGGAGGCTGAGCTCCCAACAGGCTCGCTGGGCCCTCTTCTTTGGCCGATTCAATTTCACCCTGTCTTACAGGCCCGGGTCCAAAAATATCTCTAAGCTCTATGCACTTTCTTGTCTGTTCGAGGCCCCTGGGGAGGAAGAATCAGTTGACACCATTTTGCCCAAAGAGGTGGTGGTGGCATCCCTCTCCTGGGGCATCAAAAGACGAGTAGAGGAGGCTTTACTCAAAAGTCCAGTGCCGAAGGGGGTTCCGGCGGGCAGTCTGTTTGTTCCAACCAAACTACGCTCTGAAGTAATCCAGTGGGATCACTCATCCAGGCTGGTCTGTCACCCAGGAGTCCGGAGGTCGCTGACTGCTATCCGTCAGCGATTCTGGTGGCCGTCCATGGCCAAGGATGTCAGACAGTTCGTGGCTGCCGGCTCGGTGTGCGCTCAGAACAAGACTTCCAATGCGCCTTCTGTTGGTCTGCTCCACCCTTTGCCCATCCCTTCTCGCCCCTGGTCACACTTGGCCCTTGATTTTGTCACTGGCCTCCCTCAATCAAAGGGCAACACCGTCATTCTCACGGTGGTGGACCGTTTCTCCAAGGTGGCCCATTTCATTCTCCTTCCCAAGCTCCCCTCATCCAAGGAGACTGCACAGGTGATGGTTGATCACGTGTTCAGGATTCATGGTCTTCCGGTCGACGTGGTCTCCAATAGGGGTCCCCAGTTTGTCTCCCAGTTTTGGAGGGAGTTCTGTCGGCAGATCGGGGCCTCTACGAATCTGTCAACAGGATTTCATCCCCAGACCAACAGCAGTCCGAGCGGGCAAACCAGGATTTGGAACATACTCTCCGCTGCCTGGCATCCCACAATCCAAGCTCCTGGTGCCAACAGCTGTCCTGGGTAGAGTATGCCCATAACTCCCTTCCGGCCTCTGCCACAGGTATGTGTCCATTCCAGTGTTCTGTAGATTATCAACCCCCCTTGTTTCCCACACAGGAACCCGAAGCTGCGGTTCCGTCTGCCTTGGTTTTCGTCCAACAGTGTCGACGAACCTGGAAGAGAGCTAAGGTGGCCTTGGCCTGGGCTAATAGGCAAACCAAAGCAGCAGCCGATCGTCACCGGACTCCTGCTCCCCGTTATGTGTGTGGTCAAAGTATGGCTCTCCACCAAGGACCTGCCTCTCAGGGTAGCCTCACGCAAGCTGGCACCCAGGTTCATTGGCCCATACCGGATCACCGAAGTCCTGAGTCCGGCTGTGGTGCGGCTCAAGCTTCCTACCACGCTTGGTTGGGTGCACCCTGTTTTTCATGTCTCGAGGGTTAAACCTGTGTTGTATCCCCCTCTCATTCCCTCTGCCCCAGCCCCCCTCCCCGTCTAGTGGATGGCTCCCCGGTCTATACCGTGCGGAAGTTGCTAGATGTCAGACGTAGGGGTCGGGGCTTTCAATATCTTGTGGACTGGGAGGGCTATGGTCCGGAGGAGAGGAGCTGGATTCCGGCCCGGGACATTTTGGATCGGACGCTGGTCGAGGACTTCTGTCGACGACAAGATGAGCCCCTTCCTGCGGCACCTGGTGGCGTCCGTCAGAGGGGGGGTTACTGTCATGTCCTCGGTTTGATCACCCTGTCCTTTGGTTGTCGTGTTTTGTATCTGTCTGCATGTTGTGAGCACATGGTGTTTTGTTTTGATCATTCGCCGTGTACTCCTCTGTGGCATTCCTCCCTCCCTCTCGTTACCACCCTTACTGCTCATAATTAGTTGATTTCGCTCACCTGAATTCAATGTTTTGTTCATCTCTCGCTCTATTTATTCCCCTCTTGTGTGTCGTCTGGTGCCAGATCGTTGATTGCCAGTTTGCCAATGCTCAGCCGCCCCGTCTGGTCCTGTCTAGTCCTGTTAAGTCATGCCATTGTCGGCTCCCTGTCAGGTTTTTTGTTGCTTCTTCCAGTTGTTTTGTTTTTCTATTTCTCCTTCCTCGTTTCCTAGACCGGGCATCTGCATCCCCACAGAAGTTCTCTCGCTCCACTCGGACGCCGGCTCCCTCGCTTCTTCCTTCCCTCTCCACTCTCTAATTCCCTATGCGGCCGCGCCATTGAGTGCCCTCTGCCGGGTGTTTTTTGCAAGGACGTTTTTGTTTGCTCATTGTTTCTGTGGGACTATTATTTTCCTAAATACCCCGGCTGGATTTTTGTTCTTTTGAGGAATTTCCCTTTTTATTTGGACTTATTAAAAATAAACTGTTTTCCTGCTGAAGCTTGCATCTGTGTCCATGTTGTGTTCCTGAGAACGCCTCCAAAGCTACTTATAATTGAGAAATACAACAAGCTATTCATCATAAGAGACAAATAAACAGAGGAAGTGCTCATAATACAAAGTTTCACACATTATTCAGATTAGAACAAGCTAGAGAGGGAAAGTGATGGATATTCTATTTAATGATTTGTCAGTCATATATTGTGTGCATCTCTAATGAATACTCACACAAATCTCGTGATTCCTAATTGTGATACTGAACTAGTTTATAATTTTCATTCTTCAAACTTTTTGAAATACCATATAGGCCAGCAGTCAGCAATCTATGGTACACAAAGGGATAATCACTGGCACGCAAGCAATAAGGATATACTGCATATCGATGTACATGTTGAGGTAATCATTCCTCATAGTTGCACAGCCTGTTAGGATCTATAAATACTATTAAAGTGTTAGAATTAAACCTGCGCTAGTCTACAGATGCACGTGACTCCAGGTGTTGTGACAAATAATGCTACCTATCAGATTATGCTACCAACTGTATTTTTAATATCGTAAGGTTAGGTTTAGGTTTGGGGTAGGTGTAGGTCGAATTACGGTCCCTGCTGTTTTAATGGGAGGTGGCAAAATTTGACAGGGTAAAAAAAATCATCAAAATTGTTGTGCCCAGTTTTGACGCCCTGTCTAATTATTACCCCCCTTGTTGAAGTCACTATCTGATTGCCTAATTCTTACCCACCCCTAATCCTAACCCCTCCCCACACCTACTCCTAAACCTGTCAATAGGGGGTAATAATCTAGCACCTGCAAACCATTCGCACAATCGCTGCGCATACAAGGGCTTCAGATCAATTTTCAGCTGTCTAACTGCGCTTATCAATGTCAAAATGACTGAGATGACCAATCAAATCAAAGTTGGCTGTGTATACCGTTCACAGAAGCAGAGCGCAATTTCCAGTTTGAAGCATCAGTTTAACGTTGAAAGAGAACGAGGTAAGATGGACGTTGCAAATCATTTAATATTAGTCAACTGTTCTTAACATTAAATGTTTTTGTTTGGCAGTATTTTCACACAGTTTTGTGTGTGTGTGTGTGTGTGTGTTAATTAACCTTCTGGGTTCTGAGGGTGTTTTGGGGCCCTGGAGAAGTTTTGACATGCCCTGACATTTGTGTTTTTTCAGTGTCTTAAAAACATAATTGGCTAAAGTCTGATAACACTGTATTCAGCACAAACTGGGCTACAATAATATGTGAGCAGCATGAATGTACATGTTTTTGAGAAAACAACGTTTATGCGTGGTTAGTGAAAAACAAAAAATTTTAAGTCACTGAAATAAGGCCATAAAACACATACAGAACATTTGTTCACAAGACTTTTAAGAACTGAATGTGGCAAACTAGAGTTTTTGCTACAAAATGATGTGAAAATTGTTATTTGAATTATTTGTATTTTATTTACAACACAGTATAATAAAAATATACACAGTGAAGGTCAATTAGACCCTTTGCAGTTTCAAACAATAACTTATTCTTATCTGCACGATAAAAAATGACAGAGTATTTTTAGTTCTTTTAGCGGTCATAAAGAAAATACAAGATAGACAGCACCGGTGTGGGCTTCGACCCCAGAGGGTTAATATAACACTCACTGTAGTTTCTTCAGTTTACAGTGTGGATCCTCCAGTAGAGCAGAGAGCAGCTTCACTCCTGAATCTCCTGGATTATTACAGTTCAGATTCAGTTCTGTCAGGTGTGAGGGGTTTGATCTCAGAGCTAAAATCAAAGCAGCACAGCCTTTCTCTCCAATACTGCAGCTCCACAGCCTGCAGAGAGAAAGAGAAAAACAAGTAAAGTCAATAATTAATAGTCATGTTTTAAAGATTTGTTACTGAAACAATGTAACACTACTCATCTCCATCTCTTCAATAAAAATGTGTCAGATTTGAGTGTTTGTAAATCTTTATAAAGTGATGAATATTCTACACTGTAAAATTTTTTTAGTAAGTATTATGACATTAATGACACATTACAGTAAATCACATTTTTTTATGCAGAAAAATTACAGTATTTTTATACAGTATTCAGAACCATTCATCAATCATGGTGAGTAATGGCTTCTTCTCCTGCTATTATTGTTTGCACTGCTTGCCACATGTATAGTTTAGCTCTCTCTGTCAGTGACGAGGGATTCGCATGTCATAAATGCAGGGAAATAATTAGACTGACAGAGAAGATTTCAGATTTAGAGACACGCATCCAAACTTTAATTGAGGACAGTAAGAATGTGAGGGCTGTATATACGGCGTTGGATGCGACTAGCTCAGGGAGTCCTATACAATGTTCGGTTCCGATTACAGAGCCTCCGCAGCAGGGAAACTGGGTGAATGTGAGGTGGCATAGTCGCGGGTCAAAACACCGCTCTTCCATTCCGATCAAAACATTAAACAGGTTTTCCCCACTCAGTGACGCACCCGCTGAGAAACCTGCTCTAGTTATTGGCGATTCTATGGTACGGAACGTGAACATAGAGACACCAGCCACCATAGTCCAATGTTTACCGGAAGCCAGAGCGCCTGACATCTTGGCAAATTTAAAAGTGCTGGCTAATGCTAAATGTAAATTCAGTAAGATTGTTATTCCCGCCGCCGCTAATGATGTTCGACTTCTCCAGTCAGAGATCACTAAAAATAACATTAAAGAGGTGTGTGATCTTGCAAGTACTATGTCAGACACTGTAATATGCTCTGGTCCCCTCCCTGCTTACCGTGGTGATGAGATACATAGTAGACTGTCATCACTCAATGGTTGGATGTCTAAATGGTGCCCGCAGAATAACATTTCATAGACAATTGGACAAGTTTTTGGGGCAGACCTGACCTGTTGAAAAGAGATGGTCTTCATC